TAAAGACTTAAATTCTGCTTTTATCTTTTGTTCAAACTGTAAAACATAGATCACAAACATGAAAATCATGTATGTAAAGCATAACAAGGATTTTGTATTTTTTCACCAGATAATATAGCTTTTGTTGTAATTGTGTTATTACTGTACATGTTTTATTCGGATATTAATTATCACCTGTTGTACATACCAGCCATATGAACCATTCCAACATTTATACAAATACTGCCTGTTTATATTCCTATACCTAGGATTCAATGACTTTGTGGTAGTGATGTTGTTTATATTCCTATACCTAGGATTCAATGACTTTGTGGTAGTGATGTTGTTTATATTCCTATACCTAGGATTCAATGACTTTGTGGTAGTGATGTTGTTTATATTCCTATACCTAGGATTCAATGACTTTGTGGTAGTGATGTTGTTTATATTCCTATACCTAGGATTCAATGACTTTGTGGTAGTGATGTTGTTTATATTCCTATACCTAGGATTCAATGACTTTGTGGTAGTGATGTTGTTTATATTCCTATACCTAGGATTCAATGACTTTGTGGTAGTGATGTTGTTTATATTCCTATACCTAGGATTCAATGACTTTGTGGTAGTGATGTTGTTTATATTCCTATACCTAGGATTCAATGACTTTGTGGTAGTGATGTTGTTTATATTCCTATACCTAGGATTCAATGACTTTGTGGTAGTGATGTTGTTTATATTCCTATACCTAGAATTCAATGACTTTGTGGTAGTGATGTTGTTTATATTCCTATACCTAGGATTCAATGACTTTGTGGTAGTGATGTTGTTTATATTCCTATACCTAGAATTCAATGACTTTGTGGTAGTGATGTTGTTTATATTCCTATACCTAGGATTCAATGACTTTGTGGTAGTGATGTTGTTTATATTCCTATACCTAGGATTCAATGACTTTGTGGTAGTGATGTTGTTTATATTCCTATACCTAGGATTCAATGACTTTGTGGTAGTGATGTTGTTTATATTCCTATACCTAGGATTCAATGACTTTGTGGTAGTGATGTTGCTGTGTACAGCTCGGTATTGATTCTCTCTGTTTACAGTGCTTGATTTGTTGTTATTTGAACAAATATAATCTTGATTGTATGTCTGGTGTATCAGTATTGTATGCCATTAACGCTTTAAAACCTCCATCAAATCACCATTTCATTGCAAAGATCTGTGGCATAAGTTTTCTCTGATGTCGTCAAATTCTATTTATCATTGGGCTCAAGCATTTTTTACAATGTTTATTTTGCTTCCAATCGTTTATCTACCCTCGACTGCGTCAGTTTTTGAAAACAGAAATCACTGTGTATTCCCTACTGTCTCTTTTGTAACTTCAAACATGACAAGGTTGTTGGGTATACATCACCGTTCTATGATACAATATGAATGATAATGACTTGATTCACCTGTATTGTCAAGATTTATAGGAATTAAAGTTTGGTTTTGACAAAACTCAATTTTCAGATCGTCTGACCCAAAGGAAGAGGACCTATTGCTATCATGCATGATCTGTCATTGTACACCAACAGCTGTCGGCCATCTGTAAACTTTTCCTTTAAAATCAATATTTCTGCAAAACAATACTATTTACTATTATATGTTAAAATGGAATTTTTCAAAACATCTAAAATACTTTTTCTGACTAACCAAAAAGCATGGCATTTGGTGATAGTTTCATAGTATGAAGCTTCGAAAAGCAATGTTCTTGACCCTTATTCAAGGTCACAGGGATCAAATTTGTTAAAACCTAAAAATATTAAAACAACTTCTTCTGACAAGCTTATAGGCTAGAATGAAGCGGGACAAAGTTTCCAAAAAAAGAAATGACCTTGAATATTGCTCAAGGTCATAGGAATTCAAATTATCAAAACCTAAGATTTCTTCTGTAAACCAAAAGTCTGAGGAATTTTGTGGAAAGGTGTTTCTAAGTGAAAGCCTGATGAGAAAAAAGGAAATGATATTTACATATAAACCAAGTCATAACTGTTACAATTTAGAGATGAGTGCAAGGAGCTGTTTGTTGTGAAAATAAATTAGATTTGATAGGATGTGCCCGCTTCGAATGCAAACAGTATACCAGTTAATGTATTAGTGATAAACAATGATTTTTTGATGAACATTGAATATCAGGTGAGAAATGCAGGCCCATTGGACCTGTTGTCATGAATGATTCTGACTTCTGTTTGACCACAAGGTTGGGACCTAATTGGGAAATTATTTCTTACATGAAATTCTATGTTAAATAACTGTATGGCTGAATTTAGCAGATGGTGATGTAGGTCCCTTGGGCCTTTTGTTGTTGATGTACAATAGAAGGTACTTTGTTTTAGTGTATTAAAACTTGAAAGCAAATCAATTAAGTCACATTTCTTCATGCAGTAAAATGTATGACAAAACTCAAAAATGACTTTTAAGCAATAGATCAATTAAATATCAGTAGAAGGTGGGCAGTGATGAATTTGTCAGATAAATATTTTTACTCCAAAATATATACAGTGCTAATTAGTGTGAAGTCTTACACCAATCGCAAATCATAATCATTGCTCTCAAAACCAATTTGGAAGGAAGCTATGACAAAATTGTGTTGCTACATTACAAAATGATTAAGTTCACACTTCTAATATCATTGATAAATGGGGTTGTTATTTGCCAAATTTTGCTGGTGTTGATACATGAAACCTTGTTTTTATTTAAACATTATTGTCAAAAATTCTCATACATCTTCTTTTGGATTTAGGTGTAGTTGTTATCACAAATAACGTAGTGAATCAACCGAGTACATCATAATGTTCTAAGTATGTATAGTGAAAAGAACTTTTAGTTTGAGACTTTTTCTGGCCTGTAAATTGTTTTTTACTTATGCTGATATGTATGCAAAAATTTTACATCAAAACTATGGCTCTTCCAGACTTATAGAAGAACTTTTGTTAATGAACACATAATGATGGAACAGGAAACAAGAGTCTATATGAGCTGTAGGTACTATTATCAGGTGGTGGGCTATTCACATAGTCCTCCATCCGTGGTCCTTAGTCCATTCATAAATCCGTTCACATTCTTTTATTGTTATTTCTTGAAAATTATTAAATGGATCTTTCTCAAATTTCATATGTAGGTTCCCCTTTGTCCCCAGTTGCACCCATTTATTTTGGGACTGACTAGAAAAACAAAATGGCAGACAAGCAGCCATCTTGGATTTCATATAGTAAAGTTTGTAATTGCAGTTTCTTGAGAAGTACTAAATGGATCTCTTTCAAATTTCATGTGTAGGTTCCTCTTGGTCTAAAGTTGTTCTGACTGATTAGACAAATACAAAATGGCTTCCAGGCGACCATCTGGGATTTGGCAATTAAAGATTATTATCGCTATTTCTGCACAAGGAATAAATTTTTACATTTCGTATCATTAAGAGCAAAAACAGATATGAGGGAAGAGGGGAAAAGATCCAACTTTCAAAAAACAAATAAAAAGCAAACAACAGTGGGTGCGGAGATCCCTCTAGGATCCCTTGTCTGTATCTGAATTTCCCTGACATTTTCTTCCTGTTTACATCTACAAGTTTATTATAACGATAAAAATAGTAACATTCATGTTTTAAGTATGAGAGATTGCTTTGTGAAGGAAAAATTCTAGGTATTAGAGGTTGCTTGTTGATATTTTGTGTTTTAAAATGATCAGGCATTGCCTGCATTTTCTGTAAGATAGCAATGTTTTCTATATCACTCAGTGCCTGTATTTGTCCTTTCTTGTTTCAGATTCTACATTACCTTACATACTCTCTCCACCTTTCTGTACTTGTAAAACGAGGCTTTTGATTGCAGCTTCCAAATATTGTCTGATAGGTTTGATAAGATAATTATACAAGAGTCTGATTATAACAAAGTCAGGTAGAATATAATAGTGGTAGAATGTATACAACTATTTAATTCTTCAACAGCACTATGACAGTCCTGGTACCATGGTAACATAGGATATTAAGTCCAGAGGAAAACAAGCTAGTGTTAATGGCCTCAATGTGGCGTATCCTCTTACTGACAATCAGCATTTTTCTCTGTATATTTTAGCTTGCCTGAAACTTGCTAGGAATTTTCCTCTTTCCTTTTCCTTCCTTTGCTCCAAAAACATTTTTAAGATGCCTATAATGTGCTTTAAAAATGTTGAAATATTCCATGATTGATGATAGACAGAACAAGCAGCAATAATTGGCGCCACCAGATTTTAAGAAATTTTATGTTGGTGAATGGCTACGAGCGATCGGATCATCAAAATTAAATTATAACTTAAAAAATGCTTTTAGTTTAAAACAATATTTCTGAAATAATTTTTGCAAATTTTTTTATACTTGAAATTTTCATTCAAAAGGAAAATGAGAGAAAAAGATTATTCTTTTTTATTTTTAATTGCAGTATCTGAAAGCACTATTTCATTGCTATTGGCATTGATGGATATATGTGATAGTGAATCTGTTTGTGTAGCTGACTCACCTTTTTGCATTGAAATTTATCAATCTGTTACAGTGAAGTAAAAAAATATTTGTTTAATTAGTCAATTCCATCCTCATTGTCAAGGAGAACTGTGCTGAGAATTTACTCAACATGACATGATTTGTTTCATTGATTACCGTTTGTCTCTGATCTGACAGTCCATGTTTTTTGGTGGCCTTATGGCTCACCTGCCGATAGTGTTTTATCAAATACAAAGCAACATTTACGGGTATCTTTCAATCTTTACTGTTGATGCATATGAAAGATTGATTATAAAGGTTAATTTCTCTTTCCTTTTGTTGAAGAAAAGGGTCTCAGGATGACAAAGACAAATGCTGCTTGTTCTGTGTTTATTTTATATAACCATAGAAAATAGATGCCCTGGGTTCTTGTTAAAAATTCCTGGAGCAGTACATAATCCTATTGCTCACTAGAACTTATCAGGGAGCAATACCACTAGTTTCTTTATATTTTCAGATTTGAATGACCATGAGGATAATTAAGAGAGGACTCACCTTTTTCTATCTGCTACTGTTAGTAGTAATGGATGTGTCATTAGCAGTTGACCAGTCCGCCTGCCAACTCTCTTTCCCAGAGATGACCAATGCATCAGAGGAAAGCCATGCAAATGTGACGGAATCTGTTGTCCAAAATTGTGATATCTATAGCAATATCTTTGGCATTATGGAAGAGTTGAATATCATTGCCTTTAAAAAAACTTCTTGTTACACTATGAAATGGATTTCTAGAAAAGTAGCCAGCAAGTCATCAGATCGCTCCCGAGGCATTACCATTACATTCCAAATTGAGGAACATTTTGATAGTAACTTGAAGATAGATAGTGCATCTAGTCAAGGCTTTTCAGAAATGAAATCTGCAGATAGCGTTACCACAACAGTATGTCATTCCTTAGCCATGCAACCAAGATTTAAGGGTCAACAGTCAATGGCAATGGTACATGTGAATAACACTGGAGAAAATGATGATAACTCAAACATAACCGGGATCCTGGTACCGACCCAGAACAACGGAAACAACAGGAAGGAACATGGTGAGTAGGGAAAACCCAAATATCTGGTGGAAAAATTGTTGATAAAAAAATTGATTAAAACAGAAAAAATGACATCGTGTCCTCCCAATCAAAATTAGATATCAAAATTTTTTTTATATAGATATATTAATAACGGAAATTTCATGTATCCACAGTAAGCCACTCTGACCTAGTTTTTGACCTTTGTCCTACATCAAATGAAACATTTGTTGGGGCTCTCCTATGCCAATATTCAATGGACCTTCATACTTAAGTCATAGGATAACCTAGGTGAGGGGGTTTGTCATGTATCAAAAGGAGGTCACTCTGACCTACATTTTGACCTTTGACATATAGGAAAGCCCTGACAAGTCAAATCTTTGGGACCATGTCAATAGTTTGAGGAATCAAAGGTTAATCATAGATCATTGATACTGTCCATCCGTGTCCATGAATGACATATTCAATGCACAATTGTTTGACCGGTCCAGTTTATGTTATTAAGTTTGGACTGACTTATATATTCCATACCTTCCATTTCTCAGAGATTTTAATGAAGAAAAATGCATAAAAAAATGTAAAACACAACACTAGTTTATATTCTGCAAAAAGTATAATTTTAAGAATGAAGGTTTCTTCGGCTTACTGTCTGTAGGAAATAAGAGGTGGAAAAGATTTACAGCATTTGATATAAACTGTTGAATAATTTATACATACAGTCATCAAATTAACGGAGAAACACTTATAAGGCTGAATATATCAACCATGCTTTCATCTCTGGTAAGTTGTATTTACAGAATAACGATAAAGATGCATACTGCCTTACATATGATTAATGTGTTATCAACATCCTCTGCTGAAATAAAACTATTAAATATTACATGGATAATCACCTTTATTTACTCCTATCTACCCACCATGCAGCATTCTGTTAATTGGTTTACAAACTGTCTGTTTGAACAAGGTTGATTTTTAAGTCGAATGAAAACAAAATTTATTAGAAATTACATAACAGATGGCAGTACAGGTATGTAATTATACCACTGTAATCCCATAATTATCTGCTGTCCTGTCAATACACACCAGAGTAATCAGATCTCTTACCCTGAAATTGTGCATGATACAGGTAATTGTTTTTCAAGCAAGACACCTGTTCAACAAAGACAGAATTGTACATTCAGTAGGGGACTAATTCACCAACATATAATTGTACATTCAGTGAGGGACAGACTAATTCACCAACATATAATTGTACATTCAATGAGGGACTAATTCACCAACATATAATTGTACATTCAGTGGGGGACTGACTAATTCACCAACATATAATTGTACATTTAGTGGAGGACTGACTAATTCACCAACATATAATTGTACATTCAGTGGGGGACTGACTAATTCACCAACATATAATTGTACATTCAGTGGAGGACTGACTAATTCACCAACATATAATTTGACTAATTCACCAACATATAATTGTACATTCAGTGGAGGACTGACTAATTCACCAACATATAATTGTACATTCAGTGGAGGACTGACTAATTCACCAACATATAATTGTACATTCAGTGGAGGACTGACTAATTCACCAACATATAATTGTACATTCAGTGAGGGACTAATTCACCAACATATAATTGTACATTCAGTGGAGGACTGACTAATTCACCAACATATAATTGTACATTCAGTGAGGGACTGACTAATTCACCAACATATAATTGTACATTCAGTGGAGGACTGACTAATTCACCAACATATAATTGTACATTCAGTGAGGGACTAATTCACCAACATATAATTGTACATTCAGTGGAGGACTGACTAATTCACCAACATATAATTGTACATTCAGTGGAGGGACTAAATTCACCAACATATAATTGTACATTCAGTGGAGGACAGTGAGGGACTAATTCACCAACATATAATTGTACATTCAGTGGGGACTGACTAATTCACCAACATATAATTGTACATTCAGTGAGGGACTAATTCACCAACATATAATTGTACATTCAGTGGAGGACTGACTAATTCACCAACATATAATTGTACATTCAGTGAGGGACTAATTCACCAACATATAATTGTACATTCAGTGGAGGACTGACTAATTCACCAACATATAATTGTACATTCAGTGAGGGACTGACTAATTCACCAACATATAATTGTACATTTAGTGGAGGACTGACTAATTCACCAACATATAATTGTACATTCAGTGGAGGGCTGACTAATTCACCAACATATAATTGTACATTCAGTGGAGGAGACTAATTCACCAACATATAATTGTACATTCAGTGACTAATTCACCAACATATAATTGTACATTCAGTGAGGGAGGTACACTGACTAATTCACCAACATATAATTGTACATTTAGTGGAGGACTGACTAATTCACCAACATATAATTGTACATTCAGTGGAGGACTGACTAATTCACCAACATATAATTGTACATTCAGTGGAGGACTGACTAATTCACCAACATATAATTGTACATTTAGTGAGGGACTAATTCACCAACATATAATTGTACATTTAGTGAGGGACAGACTAATTCACCAACATATAATTGTACATTTAGTGGAGGACTGACTAATTCACCAACATATAATTGTACATTCAGTGGAGGACTGACTAATTCACCAACATATAATTGTACATTCAGTGGAGGACTGACTAATTCACCAACATATAATTGTACATTCAGTGAGGGAGTACACTGACTAATTCACCAACATATAATTGTACATTCAGTGGAGGACTGACTAATTCACCAACATATAATTGTACATTTCAGTGGAGGACTGACTAATTCACCAACATATAATTGTACATTCAGTGGAGGACTGACTAATTCACCAACATATAATTGTACATTCAGTGGAGGACTGACTAATTCACCAACATATAATTGTACATTTAGTGGAGGACTGACTAATTCACCAACATATAATTGTACATTCAGTGGAGGACTGACTAATTCACCAACATATAATTGTACATTCAGTGGAGGACTGACTAATTCACCAACATATAATTGTACATTCAGTGGAGGACTGACTAATTCACCAACATATAATTGTACATTCAGTGAGGGACTGACTAATTCACCAACATATAATTGTACATTCAGTGGAGGACTGACTAATTCACCAACATATAATTGTACATTCAGTGAGGGACTAATTCACAAACATATAATTGTACATTCAGTGAGGGACTGACTAATTCACCAACATATAATTGTACATTCAGTGGAGGACTGACTAATTCACCAACATATAATTGTACATTCAGTGAGGGACTAATTCACCAACATATAATTGTACATTTAGTGGAGGACTGACTAATTCACCAACATATAATTGTACATTTAGTGAGGGACTGACTAATTCACCAACATATAATTGTACATTTAGTGGAGGACTGACTAATTCACCAACATATAATTGTACATTCAGTGGAGGACTGACTAATTCACCAACATATAATTGTACATTAAGTGGAGGACTGACTAATTCACCAACATATAATTGTACATTCAGTGGAGGACTGACTAATTCACCAACATATAATTGTACATTCAGTGAGGGACTAATTCACCAACATATAATTGTACATTCAGTGGAGGACTGACTAATTCACCAACATATAATTGTACATTCAGTGGAGGACTGACTAATTCACCAACATATAATTGTACATTCAGTGGAGGGCTGACTAATTCACCAACATATAATTGTACATTCAGTGGAGGACTGACTAATTCACCAACATATAATTGTACATTCAGTGGAGGACTAATTCACCAACATATAATTGTACATTCAGACTAATTCACCAACATATAATTGGAGGGAGGGCTGACTAATTCACCAACATATAATTGTACATTCAGTGTAGGTCTGACTAATTCACCAACATATAATTGTACATTCAGTGGAGGACTGACTAATTCACCAACATATAATTGTACATTGAGTGGAGGACTGACTAATTCACCAACATATAATTGTACATTCAGTGAAGGACTGACTAATTCACCAACATATAATTGTACATTCAGTGGAGGACTGACTAATTCACCAACATATAATTGTACATTCAGTGGAGGACTGACTAATTCACCAACATACAATTGTACATTCAGTGGAGGACTGACTAATTCACCAACATATAATTGTACATTCAGTGGAGGACTGACTAATTCACCAACATATAATTGTACATTCAGTGGAGGACTAATTCACCAACATATAATTGTACATTCAGTGGAGGGCTGACTAATTCACCAACATATAATTGTACATTCAGTGGAGGACTGACTAATTCACCAACATATAATTGTACATTCAGTGGAGGACTGACTAATTCACCAACATATAATTGTACATTTAGTGGAGGACTAATTCACCAACATATAATTGTACATTCAGTGAGGGACAGACTAATTCACCAACATATAATTGTACATTCAGTGGAGGACTGACTAATTCACCAACATATAATTGTACATTCAGTGGAGGACTGACTAATTCACCAACATATAATTGTACATTTAGTGGAGGACTGACTAATTCACCAACATATAATTGTACATTCAGTGAGGGACTAATTCACCAACATATAATTGTACATTCAGTGGAGGACTGACTAATTCACCAACATATAATTGTACATTCAGTGAGGGACTGACTAATTCACCAACATATAATTGTACATTCAGTGACTAATTCACCAACATATAATTGTACATTCAGTGAGGGACTGACTAATTCACCAACATATAATTGTACATTCAGTGAGGGACTAATTCACCAACATATAATTGTACATTCAGTGGAGGACTGACTAATTCACCAACATATAATTGTACATTCAGCTTTTTTTGCCTAGATCAATATATTTTCCTGTCCTTTAGTGCTGAAATTATGGTGTTATTTTTTGGATCAGTAAGAATCACAATTTTTGATGCCAGAGAGTTTTATTTGACCACCA